GAAGTTGATAGCCACTTGTCACAAAAATAAACTCAGGAAGAGCTTTGAAATTGGAAGAACACTGACATGAAAGCTGTGTTGGATTGGGCCTGTGTTACACCCACCGACCCAGAGTGGCCCTCTGATTTTCTAGTTTTTGTGAAATATATGTATATATATATACATATATAGTGAAGTATATATATATACATGCTTCATATATATATATGAAAGAAACAGACTGCATGATTTCCCTCATTTGTAATAGCTAGAATATGTCTGTGATATTCTTAGCAGAGAATCACAATGGTTCAAGAGCTAGCTTTGTGCATATTATCATATGCATATACCATATAATATCATATGCATAACATATAATTATGCTTATAGAAATGAACCCCCAGAAATGCAACCAAGAGGTTTTTCTTTTGTGTACTGTTTGTAGTAATTCCTTTTTTCTTTTTCCCCCCTTGGGTCTATTTCTGTTGACACTGTTTTTGATTTCTGTACCCTTTGTCTTGTAGGTAAGTTTATCTGATTTGGGGAAGGGAAGGGAATCCTAGAAACAGTGGGACAAAGGCTGAACCAATGCAACAGTGATACTCACTAGACACACCTTGCAGCGGGAGGCAGGGGCCAGGGGAAGTGGGAGAAAATGGGTGAGGAAGGTAACCCTGTTCAAAAAGAAATGCATTTTTTAATCTCCCTTATGTACCTGTAACCCCTCAGTACATCATCTTTGCAATACATTTTTTAAAGTTCTGTGTTTCCCATATATATATATATATATATATATATATATATATATATATATACACACACACATACACACACACACACACACACACACACACACATATATATATATAGTAAAAGTAATGCACAGAGGGGTTAGTTACATAAGCAATGAGTATATTTCCTTTTGAAGACTGTTACCCCCTCCCCCATTTTCTCCCATTCCTCCCTCCCGCCCCCGCCCAGAAATTTTTTAACTTTATATTTTGAGTTAAAGTGTGGGGCTTTGTTTTATATATCACATTTCCCCCCGATGTCTGATTAATTGCTACCTTTTTATTAACACATTTCTCCATGAGAAATTATATTAAATTATAATAAAAACAAACCCTAAATCTGTTGTCCCATTCCTATGTTTTTCTTCTGCCCCTCCCCCATTCCCACAGAGCAAGTGTTAAGAGTATATTCTAGCAAAATTGTGATTGTTCTGATTCTTAAATGTTGTTGTATTACTTATTACATTTTGAGCATTTCCCTACTTCATATCATGGTGTTGGCCAACCTTGACACTTACATTTTTAATTCAGCTTTTGCTACATTCACTGCTGACAGGGATAATGACGAAGTAGGTGGAAGCTGCTGGCTCACGCCTATAATCCTAGCTACTCAGGAGGCTCAAAAATGAGGATCCTGGTTCAAGCCAGTGTGGGCAGGGAAGTCCATGAGGCTCTTATCTCCAATAAGCTACTCAGAAAAAGCCAAGAATGGTGCTGTAGATCAAGTAGTCGAGCACTAATTGGAGCAAAAGAAGTTCAGGTAGTGCCCAGACCGAGCTGAGTTCAAGCCCCAGGACCAGCATTTAAAAAAAAGTCCCCTGTATGTATCTGGTCACCTAAGAAACTTTCTACTTAAATTCCCAGACCTCATTTGCTGGGTTGCATGGGGTCCCCGCTCCCATGGGCCTGACTTCCCCCATGGCTCCAGCTCCATTTCACCTCACTAGGTAAGCATGGGGACCAACAGTTTCCTCTCTGATCAACTGCTTGAATTTTCCCAAGGACCTGAAGTCCCTCCCTCCCTTCTTCCTTTCCTTCCTTCTTTTCTCCCTTCTTCCCTCCTTCTCTACCTTTTCCTTCCTTCTCCTCCTCTTCTCACTATGTAGCCCAAGCTGGCCTCAAACTCACGATCCTCCTACCTCTAACATTAGATAATGTTGGGATTACCACATCCATCTTACCTTCTTCCCTGCCTTGCAAATGCTTCAGGGGTTCTATGGTCAGAGACTGGCTTTGGAAGAAATAATGACTTGGAGATGGGCTTGTTCCATGACGATCAGTGAGCGGAGACAGAGGACTGTCCACAATCTCCCCTAGCAGGGAGGGAAAGCCATGTCCTCCATGGAAGGGCATGGATGGCACAGTGCCCTCAGGACCCAACATGGCCAGAAGACAGATGTGTGAGGTGTTGATAAGGGCAGATGTGGGCAGCAAAGCTGGCAGAAGGTCCTGAAGTTCAACCCCTTCCTATGTCTCCTTCTCCAGGTGTGACCCAGCACATGGCCTCCGCCGCCCACAGGCCAGTGGCCGAGCCTGGCCTTGCTTCTTCCACGCGGGGTAAAAGCTGGGAGCACAGGAAGCCTCCAGGGCCATCCTGGAAGGCCAGCGCGGCTGGTTTCCCTGCCCGGCCTTGGCTTTGACATGTGGGATCTGATGATACAGTTATTTAGCAAGAAACCACAGAAACAAAAACAATCTGATGAAACGCAGGGAAAGTGAATCTCCCTTCACGGACAGACGACCACCGAGGGCCGCAGGCTGGCTCCCACCCACAGGCCTGGGCGCTCAGCACCCAGCGCCCCCCACGCCTCCTCCGCAGGCCGGGGCTGCGGCCCCCACCCCTGAAGCACAGCTCAGGAGCTCACCGCCTGGGGAATGCGGTTCTCCTTTCCAGCAAGCCCTAGGTGACCTGAACCGATGACCCTGATGTGTCAGAGCTGGTCAGAGAAACGTGGCTTTGCAGCCTTGGTAAGCGCGCAAGCCAGGCCACCATGAACTAGCTGTGGTATATCTGCTTAGAGGAGGATGGCCACAGAGCAGGAAGGTCATGTGGAGAACCAGGAGGGTGAGAAAGAATGTTTGGAGCTTGTACAGCCCTCTTTTCCTGCTGGGAACAACTCCACAAAGCCCCCACTCACTCCCCAACACACACTCTCTCTCTCTCTCTCTCTCTCTCTCTCTCTCACACACACACACACACACACACACACAGAGCTCAATTCTATGCCATGGTGGAAGTTTGCCACATGAGCCAGTTCTACATCTCCTTGGCAGTCTGTCTGAAACAGCTGCTCTGGGTAAGGCACGGATTTTTCATCTTCATCTACATGCTGGCTCTCTGAAGTGCTGTTTGTGGGCATCACTTAGAAAGTCAGAGCCTCTAGCTCCACCCAGATCTGGGGTGTCTGTGGGAATGAACTAGTGGCTCCCTCCAGTGACTCCCCTGCACAGTATGAGAGGGCTGAATGTGATCTCCCTGATGTCTGTTCAGGGGACCATGAAAGCAAGGCTTCCCTATGCCGGGAATGTGCACATACACACAGGAGCTGCCTTAATTAATTAATCAATCAGTGTCATTTCTGGAACTTGAACTCAGTGCCCCAAATTCTTGCTGAGCTTTTTAAATCAGAGCTGGTGCCCTATCTCCTGAGCCACAGTTCCAGCCCAGCTTTTTTTTTAACTAGTTAATTGGAGTTGAAGACTTATGGATCTTTTTTTCCTCCTGTCTGGGCTGGCTTTGAACTGTGATCCTCCCACCTCAGCCACCTGAGTGGTTAGGATTATGGGTGTGAGCCATTGGTACCACCAAGCAGCTTCTTTTGTTTTTGTTTTCATCTTTAGTTTTTGCAGTGCTGAGGCTCCACCCCTGGGTCTGATGCACACTAGGTGAGGTTTCTACCATGAGGCCACACCTCCGGTGCCAGGGGAGCTACTTTAACCATGCAGAACCTTTTGAGGCACCCGTGGCTCATGCTTAGAATCCTAGCTACTCAGAAGGCTGAGGTATGAAGATCATGGTTCAAAGCCAGCCTGGGCAGGAAGGTATGTGAGATGCTTATCTCCAATTAACCACCAAAAAGCCAGAAGTTGACCTATGGTCAAGTTCAAAGTGGTAGAGAGATAGCCTTGATCACAAAAGTTCAGGGACAGTGCCCAAATCCTGGGTTCAAGCCTCACAACGAAAGAAAGAAAGAAAGAAAGAAAGAAAGAGAGGGAGAAAACAAAGAAAGAGAGAAAACAAAGAAAGAAAGAAAGAAAGAAAAAGAAAAAAGAGAAAGAAAGGAGGGAAGGAAGGAAGGAAGGAAGGAAGGAAGGAAGGAAGGAAGGAAGGAAGGAAGGAAGGCGGCTGGGAAGGTGGCTCAGTGGTAGAGCACTTGCCTCGCATGCATGAGGTCCTGGGTTGGATTCCTCAGCACCACATAAACAGAAAAAGCTGGAAGTGGCGCTGTGGCTCAAGTGGTAGAGTGCTACCTTGAGTTCAAGCCCTACAATGGGCCAAACAAAAAAAAAAGAAATTCAAAGAAAAAGAAAGAAAGAGAGAGAGAGGGAGGGAGGAAGGGAGGTAGAGAAAGAGAGGAGGAAAGAGAGAAGGGGAGTGAGGAAGGAAGGAAGGAAGGAAGGAAGGAAGGAAGGAAGGAAGGAAGGAAGGAAGGAAGGAAGGAAATACAGAAGCTCTCAGTGGCATGGAGGCAGATCCTCAGAGACTGGATGAAGGTAGTGACTGTGGCGGCAGATAGCTCTGGAGGTAAGGAAGCTGTTCCAAAATTGGTTGTAGTAATGGTGGAACAACTCCATGAATACACAACCTTTTCAACAGGTCACACTGAAAAGGAAAGGTCTCAGAAATACCAGCTAAAAATCTTTCTTTTTCCTTCTTTCTGTCTCTTCCCTTCCTTCCTTGTTTCTTTTCAGTAGTAATGCGTTTTGAACTCAGGGCCTCGTGCTTGCTAGGCAGAAGGCTTACCACTTGAGTCACAGCCCTGCTGTTTCTGCTTTTGTTATTTTCTTTAATGGGGTCTCCTTTCTTGTCTAGGCTAGCCTAGACAACGCTCTCTCCATGCCTGCTTCCCATGTAGCTGGGGTAACAGACATGTGCCATCATAAGCAGGCTTATGCTTAGGACTTTCTGCTTGAGCTGACCTTGAATCATAATCATTCCCAGCTCAGTCTCCTGAGTAACCAGGATTACAGGCATGAGCCACTATGGGTGTTCCAGCACAAATTGAAAACTTCTGGCTACAAAAGAGACCACCTGCAGAACCCTATCTTTTTGTTTGTTTCTTTTGAGGACTCTGGATATCCTCAAAATCTTGATCCTCCAAGTCTTGGTCTCCTAAAAGCTGGGATTACAATGTGCACCAGACATAAGAAGCAGAACTTAAAAAGGTAACTGATCAGTGACGGCTCTGTCATTCCAGTCTGGGTTGATTTATAGATAATGTTGAGAAGCTACGTTTGCTTCCACAAGAAGGCATTGACATGGGCATTGACTCCTAAAACAAGAAATGAAGCTCTCTCAGGACCAACTAGCAGCATCCAATTCCAAGGCTCTGTGTGCTGAGAATTCCAAATTGGAACTTAGATTTCCAGATGATATGATGTTATATTTTATATTTACTTCTAGACCTAGATTTATTCTACCTCTCTGAATATATCTATAGATACAGATCTAGATATAGATCTATATAGGTATTTCTAGATAGAGTAACTATATAGATATATCTATAGCTATAGATATATCTAGATATAGATATATCTAGATATAGATATTGAGATAGATATATCATGGTAGAAAGCCACAGTACATTATTATAGTCACCGATTATCAATGTAACAAGGAACTAAAATATTTTGACCTAGGGTCAAGACTTAGTCTACACTGTGTACTTGCTCCAAATCCTGCAATTTCTGAGTCAGCCTAAGTGCTTTTTCCCTCTGGATCAAGCAGCAAGTATTTTTGGTTGTCTCAACATGCTATATTTTATAGGTAAATATAAATTATTCATTTACAACCATCTCTTCTTTTCATAACTTCATACATAATAAATACCAAGGATTTGTTTTTGTTCCAAAAAAGCATAAGAAATTTTAGGGTAAGAAGCATTTGACATGTGTTTCTCTTCATGTAGGCCTTCCATTTACAAAACATGGTAGTTAAAAAAATAAAATAAAACAGGAAATACAGAACAATGAAATAAAAACATTGAATATTTTACAACATTTAATATAGTTTAAGGCTCCGCCTGGGCTACTTTTATTCTTCTAAAGGACGGAAAAGCAAATCCACTAGAAAAAAAAAAAGTAGGTCTCTGGAGACTGTTTCTTTAATAACAGAAGCAGCTTAAATGGTGCTTTGAGGAGAGGGGAGAGTTTCACCGTGAGAGTTGAAAGAGTCTTTCATGGTTCTTTGATTCTTCTTAACTAATAATTTGGTGACAGAATCCAGACGGGGCAATTCTGTTCTTATTGTCATGTGTGACCCATAACTTGGACAGAAGACGCCATCTTACTCTTGTGCGTGTTCTCTCTCTCTTTCTCCCTCTCCCTCCCTCCATTTCTTCTTCTTTCCCTCTCTCCTTCTCTTTCTCTCCTTCACTATCCGAATAGTCTGCTTTGGAGATTTTTAGCTATTTGTGAGCTGCATTAGCTGTGGCCAAGCTCACAACTTGTCTGTCCACTCAGGAGCAGCCAGATGCCACTCAGGACCGGAGCTAAGTCACACATATTTCCAGAACATGCCATCCCATCCCTCATGCATTGTGTCATCTGGGTTCCTTGTGGGAAATCTCCAGCTTTTACTTTGTAGTGAGGATTAAATTTAAATACAACAATTTGTATAGCATATGCCTCAAAATTTCAATCATTTTTGAGACTGAGTTGACAGGGAAGATAGGGAAAAGGATCTCAGATAAGACTGGAATTTAGAAATTGCCACATGCTGTGGTGTCCAATATGGTGGCCATATGAGACTAACTTCAAGTTTAATTCAATAATAAAAAAAGGAAACCCAGTTCCTTTGTTGTATTGGTCACATTTCAAGGGCTCAACAGCCACATGTGGCCAGTGGCCACCTATCTGGATAGCTGGATGCAGGACTCACGCAAAGACCATCTTCCTAGAAAGCTCTATTTAATGCTCTTAACGGCAGACTTTGATTGTGCCTTTCCTTACTTTGCTACTGGTACCATGGTTTCTTACAGTGTGACTTTGGTGTGTGTGTGTGTGTGTGTGTGTGTGTGTGTGTGTGTGTGTGTGTGTGTGTGTGTGTGTGTGTGTGTGTGTTTGCAACTCATAGCTTCCTCCTCCTTTTCCTTTTTTTTCTGTCGTTCCCACAGTTCACCTTCAGCTTTCAATTCTCTTGCTTCACACTCCCATGTACTGAGAAAGGAAAGCAGTAAGGAAGGAAAGAAGGAAGAAAGAGAAAAAAGGAGGAGGAACAAGGAAAGAAGGAGGATGGAGGGAGGAAGGAAGGAATGAACAAATGAACCAACAAAGGAGGAAGGAAGGAAAGGAGGGAAGGACAAGAAGGGGGAGGGGGAGAAGGGAAGGAAGAAGGGAGTGAGAGAGGAGGAAGGAAGGAAGAAGGAAAAGAAGAAAGGAAGGAAGTCAGGATGGAAGGAAGACACTTCCCTCGCCCCTCCTGCCCCAGTGTATGTAGAGAACTCTCAGGCCTAAAGAAATACTTTTCAACCCGGGAGCTTTGAGATCTAGAACAAATAGGAAAGTCAGAGAGAATAGTAAGTTTCCTTTCATGTCTTTTTTTCCCCCTTGAGCATTACAAAGCCTTGCCTAATCTCTTAAGGAAATGGTACCATCGATGAGAAATCTGATTTCTACCTGAGTCATGGTAGTTGTGGGTCTGGTGGAACGAAAACCCTTCCTGCCCCCACAGCAGGAATCTCCCAGCCAGCCTTCCTGTGGATAGCAGTTATTGTATTCTCTCTCAGCCATGGGTCAATAATTCCAGACTAATGATATTTGTAGGAACCGTAGCTGTAATTAAGTGGAAGATGGGGAGGGACAAAAAGAGAAAGATGATGTCTTGGAGAAGTCTCCGTAGCTGTTTCTGCCGCTGTTAGAAGAGCTTCATGGATGCTGACACTGTTAGTCTCGGGAAGGGCAGAGCATGCAAGGCTCTGGGTGCCGAGGAGTGATAGGAGCTGTTCAGGCCTTTGCTGAAGTCACGCCCATCTGCCAGGCATGCTGGCTAGTAGATAACTCAGGTGCTTAGGACAGGAAGTGAGTGTTTCATCCTCTGAGAAAAGGCAGAAAATTCCAATAACGTAGGCGACAACCTGGTTTATATTTTATATTCTTATTTTTCTTCAGAGGGTGAGTGATTTTTTTTTAGGCTGAAGCACATAAAACAATGAACAGCATTGGATTACTTTTGATCTTCAAGTAGCAACAGAGAGGTTCTCATTTTAAAAGAGGAATTCTGCCTCTGACAACCACATCTGAGCTTGAGCAGATGGTTAGGCTCCCTTTGCGATAGGACCAATGCATCAAGGTGACCTTGGAGAATAGAAGTCTCAGCCAAGCACTGCATGCAGAACCGTGGCCTACAGCCCTCTGTGCTCACTGTGATGTGAATTTAATCATTCTTTTAAAAAAATGAGTTGCCATACATGGTAGATATGTGTGACATATGCTTATAAACTAAATAAGAGGGAAATCATATTAAGGTAAAAAAGTCGCCAAATTTTTAGAACTCCCCAAATTAATAGGTTCCCATTAAATAATAACTGCATTCTGAAGTTTGGCACTGGTAGCTCATACCTGTATCCTAGCTTCTCAGGAGGCTGAGGTCTGAGGATTGTGGTTTGAAGTCAGCCCAGACATGAAAGGCCATGAAAATCTTAGCTCCAACTAACTACCAGTCAACCGTAAGTGGGGCTGTGGCTCAAAGTGGTAGAGCACTAGCCTTGAGCAAAATTGGTCAGGGACAGCACCCAGGCTCTGAGTTCAAGCCCCATGACTGGCAGGAGCCTAGTCTGGCCTAGAATTCAGGGATTCTCCTACTTCAGCCTCCTGAGGGCTGAGATGCCAGGAATATACCACCGTGCTCGAAGAAAGGCTATGGAGTACACGTGGGTCCAGGAGGGATGTGGCTCAGTGGTAGAATATCTGCCTAGTATGCAAGAGGCCCTGTGTTCCAGCCCCAGCATAGACAGACAATTTACTGTCATTACTAACTTGATTAGCTTTTTTTTAAAATCTGGCCCAAGTGGGCTTTTCAGTTCTAGGTTTTGATGAAATCAATTTATATTTGTATGCCCTCACTCCAAATAAATCAACACATGTGACCAAAGGTCAAAAAAGTGGATGATACTCTGCCAAGGTCACTGGAAACCATCTCCCTTCTGGGCATCCCAGCTTCCCTCTCTCCCTTGTCTTTTCAAGAAGGTTCATTTGGCTACAAGGACCATCTGGGTGGAATGAGAGAGAAAGACAAGACAGCATCTGTAGTAATCTCACAAACAAGAACAAAATCTCCACCGATGGGAATTCTCCAGCCTCTCTCTGTAATCCAGTCCTAATGTTGAGCAACCCTCAACATCAGGAAATTCTGCCATAAATAACCCCAATCCTTCATGCAGCTTAAACCCATTTCCTCCGGCTCTCTGCTCACTGGAGATGGGGAACAGCTGGCCACCATTCTCTGTACCCAGGCCCCTTTGTAACTGGATGATTGGATCCTGGCTCTGGATCACTGTCATAATGAGAGGGCTGACTGGTTCCATATTCTGCTGTCTACACAAGCATGTAAAATGGGAAGATAAAATTTGGAGCCTGCTGAGCTTCAGAAACATGCCATGAGAGGAGTCTGGTCCCGTGTCATGTCACCAGTCTGTTCACAGTCTATAAACTTGCAAGTGTGAGATTTCTGCATGGAAAAACCACATGTTTCTCCAGAGGCTGGCTTCACAACATGCACACAACATGAGATAACGCGGTCTCTGAAGGCCACTGACAACAGAACCCACAGAGAGCCCTTATTGAGCATCTTTGATGTTCTCATTGTATTATCTCATGGGCTCTTCACAGTGTACTAAGCATCAGGACGGCTCATGTTGCAGGTGAGGAAACTTAGCCCAGTGAAAATGAACTTGCCTGTGTTTAGCTGCCAGTGGGCAGAGGGTAAAAACCCATGTCGGAGTTCAGAACCTGTGCCTTCTATGCACCTTCCCAGCCAGCACAGGCCCCAGGCTCCATGTGCCTGGTGCCGATGCTGG